CGACACTGATAAGAAAAGGACAACCTCTAAACTAGTGCAGCAGTTCAGGAACAAAAAACAGACCCATTACCTCGTATGTCCACCGAAAGAACCAAAGATAAGATCTCTCCCATGCACGCGCGCGCGTGCACAGAGAGGGAGAGAGAGCATACTACAGTTTGTTGAGTAATTCGTGGACCGTTTCCGTAAGTAAAGAAAATAAGTTTATTGTGAAATATTTGGCGACGGCTCTCTTTACATTGCACACACGAGGTAACACCAGCGGGAGAGTAATACACAATAGAAATATATAGAGAGCGCGACCGCCTCACTGGAGCATAAACATTTCGTGATATAGATTGCTAAACGATCGTATACAAATCAATCCAATTCGCGATTGGTCCGTACGTCGACCGCGAATTATCGCCTTATCCGAGCGATTATCCTTCAATCCCCCACTTCGTGAGGTCTAGGCCCATTTTACTTAGGCAGTAGTTATGAGCGGTTCGTTTTAGCCTCTTTGTCATCACGTCCGCAGGATTCTCATTGGATGGCACGTATTGTAGTTCCATCAGTCCATCCTCAATCCTTTCCCTGACGATGTGATAGGAGATGTCTATGTGCTTCGTTCGATTCTTTTCCATCCTGTTTTTGGAAAAATCTATGGCTGCCCTGTTGTCACAAAACATTTCGAAACCTGAAAAATAATTACAAAGTTTAAGTTCTGACAAGAACGTGTTCAGCCACATGATCTCTTTGACCCCATTTGACATTGCCACATATTCCGCTTCCATTGTGGAGGCTGATAGGCAGGTTTGTTTCGTTGACCTCCAGTTGATAAGATTTCCGCCCATCATTACCACTGTTCCAGAGTAGGAGTGTCTGTCGTCCACGTCTCCAGCCCAGTCTGCGTCACAGTAAACCTGTATTTTTTGTTTGCCTCCGGCCTTGTAGACAATTTCGAAGTTTCTTGTTTTGCTCAAATATCGCAGAACGTGTTTCGCTTGATGCCAGTGAGGTTTCCCCGGATTCGAATTATACTGCGATAGCTTCGAAGTTGCGAAGGCTATGTCCGGTCTTGTATACTGTGCTAGGTACATCAGTGAACCTATCAACTCCCTGTAGGGTACATTTAACATTTCCTCCTTTTCCTTGTATGTCTCTGGTCCGTCCCTTTTACTAATTTTTATCCCGGGATCCAATGGCGTTGCAGCTCCCTTGCATTCTTGCATATTGTATCTCTTCAGAATTGATTCGACATAGGTACGTTGAGTTAATCGCATCGAGTCTCCTTGCTTCCAATCCAGCTTCACTCCCAATGCATGCTGTATCTCGCCAAGGTCCTTAATCTCGTACTTCTTGCTGACAGTCTCGATCACTTCCGTGATTGCATTCGGCCTGTTTGAGAACATAAAAATGTCGTCAACGTATATTATTGCTAATAGCCAATGCCCTTTTCTATAAGTACAGCCCGATGACTTGAGTCTCTTGAATCCCATTTCGATGAAAGTTTCATTTAGTTCCTCATTCCAATTCCTTCCTGATTGCTTTAGACCGTAAATCGGGCGTAGTAACTTGACTGTTTCCCCTTCTCTGGCGTTAGGTAGGGACGGTAACTTCATATAAATGTCTTCTTGCAACTTTCCATATAGGTATGCATTTTTAACGTCTATATGCCTTGTGTACCATTCAAATTCGGCTGACAATGCCAATAGTAGTCTGATCACTGAAAAATTTGCTACAGGTGAGTATGTCTCGTTGTAGTCAGTTCCCCTTCTTTGAGCGAAACCTTGCGCCACCAATCTAGCTTTGTATCTCGCGATTTCACCGTCAGCATCTGTTTTTATCTTGAAGATCCACTTGCTTCCTATGCACCTTTTTCCTTCTGGTGATCGGGCGGTCTTCCAAGTTTTTCTTTGTATCAGACTATTCAATTCCTCCTTAATAGCTTGTTTCCACTGTCTGGCTTGTGGAGATGCTAATGCTTCTTGGATATTTTGTGGTTCGTTGATCTCTATCAAGTTTGTTTCTATGTCGCTTTGCTCAGTCGAATATTCGTCTTCGAATAATCGCTGGATCTCGCTAGGTTTGGGTTTCCCTTTCCTTCCGTATGGATTTCGAATTTTCTTCTTCGGTCTACCTCTCGGAGTTTTCTCGGATTCTCTGGCCCCCACTATCTCTCGCTCTTCAGGGATACTATCCGTTTCTCCTTCGGATTCTTTGTGCGTTTTGGGCGAGCTTTTGTTCTGACTGCCCGGTGGTTTCGTTTCTCGCGCCGACTCAATCTCTTCCGTGGCTGAAAAATGATCATTTTCAGGCCAGATTTCGTCATGCTGGAATGAGTGGTTTACTCTTCCGTAGGTCCATTCGTATCCGATTTTGTCTTCTGCAAATCTGACATGTTTCGTCGTGATTACGTCCCCTTTCCGTGGGCACCATAATCTATAACCTTTCGTCTGGGCAACATAACCGACAAGTATGCACTCGACTGCTCTATCGTCGAGTTTCCTCCGTCCTTGATCAGGTAATCGAGCGTAAGCTAAGCAACCGTAAACTTTCAGATGACGCACGCTCGGTACTCTCCCGCTCCATACTGTGAATGGTATTTGGTCGTTGATCGTCGAATGGCATACTCTGTTTCTGATATATGCTGCGGTGCTTATCGCTTCGGCCCAGAATTTTTGTGGTAGGCACGCTGACTTGAGCATTGACCTCGTCAAGTCTAATAGGGTTCTGTTGGTCCTTTCGGCGACTCCATTCATTTGTGGTGTCTCCACGTTTGATCTTTCGTGTTGGATGCCTATGTATCTGAAAAATGCCGACAGCTCTTTATTACAATATTCTAAGCCATTGTCCGTTCGAAATCTCTTTACTTTCTTATCTGTTTCGCGTTCTATTCTTTTGATGTAATTTTGTACGCAAGTTTTGACTTCTTCCTTTGAATTGATGCACATTATTGTAACATTGCGTGAAAAATCGTCCGTAAAGGTTATGAAGTATCTGCTTCCGCCCATTGACTTTACAGGCAAGGGGCCGCATAAATCTGAGTGAATTAGCTCGCATATATCTTTCGTTTGTTTCGATTTCAGTTTTCTACACGCGACTTTTGTGGCCTTTCCGATGTAGCACTCTTCGCACGTGTATTTGTCTATTTTAGTTTCATCCATCCCGGTAACGCGATTTCCTAATTTCTTTAACGCGGTGCTATTAACGTGACAAAATCTTCGGTGCCATAAATCATCGGCATCATATTTTATAGCGTTGGCTTCTTTTAACATATCCTCCGGAATATCCCGATCTAACTCGACTTTTAACACGTATAAATCGTTCTGTCTGTAAGCCTCACATATGACTTGCTTGGTGTGAGCATTTTTAATTTTAACTTTCCCCTCTCTTACTAAAAACTCTTTTCCCTTTCTCTCTATTTGTGACATCGACATTAAATTCTTCCTAACATTTGGAACGTAGTAGACATTCCGCAGAACTATGCCCTGTTCTACGTTAGCGACGGATGTTTTTAGAAATATATCGCCTATACCTTTTGCTCGCAGTGTTGCTCCGTTTTGTTTACTTGGATCTGCCGCTGTGTTTATTACCTCGGAATCTATTTCTCTAAAGTTTGAGAACCAGTCTCGTCGCTTGCACACGTGATGCGTGCTCCCGCTGTCCAAAATCCACATGTCCTCGATGTCAACATTGTTCAAGGACACTAGGAATGTGTCGTAGCCTTTCTTGGATTTCCCGCCGAATTTTTTGTATCTCTCATCTTTCTTCAACCGACAGTCTTTCGCGAAGTGGCCAATTTTCCTGCAATTAAAACAAGTAAGTTTTGGCTTCTCGTTACCTGCTGTTTTGGTATTCTTATCTGCGATCTTCTTGTTCGCGGTTAATGCTTCCTTCGGCGATTCCACTTTGTCGTCGAGTCTGGATTGTCGTCTGTCGTATTCTGCCAACAGAACTTTTTTCACCTCCGCCGACGTGAATTTGTCGTCCGGCAAGTTTGCCAACGCCATATTCAAATTTTCGTAGCTGTCCGGTAACCCGGCTAATAGCGCGTATGCCAAATCTTCGTCTTTCACTTCAGCCCCTGCGTCTCTGAGGTTAGTGGCTGCGATTTTTGCTCTCGCGATATACGAGGACATATTCTCCTCACTCTTCATCTGTAGATGATAGAACGCCTTTTTCAACTGCATTATTCTTACTCTCGATTTTGGTTCATGAATCTGTTCGAGCATCCGCCATGCTTCGGCCGCACTCTGGCAATCTTCTATGTGTACTTGTTGATCTATCTCAAGGCTTAGACCAATGGCTGCCATTGCCTTATCATCGTTCGTTTGGTGTACCTTCTTCTCGGCTGCGGGGGTCGCGTCACGTATCTCGATCTTTCCGAGTGCGTAATCGAGTAGCCCCTTTCCCTTTAGGAACCACTTCATCTCGACTTTCCACGTCCGATAATTCCTATCAGACAGCTTTTCGACCAGGGCTTCGGCCTTACCGTTTGTCACGTTCGCCATTGTCGATCTCTCTTGCGCGATCTTTTCTCAGATGCTTTGCTATTATTTCTAGCCTCTTGGTTTCCAGGTGCCTTGTTTTCTCTTACGTGCTTGAACGCCTGGGCCCATAACCATGTTGAGTAATTCGTGGACCGTTTCCGTAAGTAAAGAAAATAAGTTTATTGTGAAATATTTGGCGACGGCTCTCTTTACATTGCACACACGAGGTAACACCAGCGGGAGAGTAATATACAATAGAAATATATAGAGAGCGCGACCGCCTCACTGGAGCATAAACATTTCGTGATATAGATTGCTAAACGATCGTATACAAATCAATCCAATTCGCGATTGGTCCGTACGTCGACCGCGAATTATCGCCTTATCCGAGCGATTATCCTTCACAGTTTTTATGTGTTAAATTGTACGAAATATGTTATTATTTTAACGGGTGCATCCCGATTTCAGATGTACAATTCTAAAAAAAAATAAAAAGTATTTTTATACTTATATATTTTTTATTAATAATTATAATCTCATTCGTAGCGCATTCATAATTGTTAATCGTTTCTGTTTTCCTAATTCTGCATCGTGGTGTGTATTAATAAGGTTGTCTTCATCAAGATTTAATTGTATACCCATGGGCATTTCATTATTTTGTAAAATGCAAATATTGTGTAACACACAGCATGCTAGGATAAATTCTGGAACTTTTTTTATGTCTGTTAATGGCAAACAGTCTAAAAGTATCCTAAAACGCATTTTTAGGGACCCTATAGCACGCTCAATTGCCATTCTCGTGGACGACAAACAATAATTAAAGTTTTTTTGCCGATCTGTCAAATATCCATTATTTCGAAAAGGCACCATTATGTGAGGTTGAATGGGGTATGCAGCATCTCCGATGATATGTGAATCATTGGGGAAATATTCTTCGGGCAATCGAACAAACCGGGCTACTGGCGAGTTTCGAAAAACTCGAGAGTCGTGGACTGATCCAACTTGTCCAGCATATACATGTGTAAAACGACCAAGAGAATCACATATTACTTGCACGTTAATGGAATGGAAACCTTTTCGATTAATATACGATTGAGCATCTTTAGGAGGAGCTCGGATTTTAATATGAGTCCCATCAATCGCTCCGATAACATTTGGGAAGCCGCATGATCGTTTAAATCGTTCCATTACACTAACGGCAATCTCATCTCTCGGCCATTTAATAAATTGAGGTGCAACACAATGGAGAGCATATGTTACACGCCTCAATGCTCGAAAAGCAGTTGCTTTGCCTACTCCAAATTTTGTCGCTACAGATCTAAAATAATGATGTATCATATAGATTAAGGTTGCGTTCCAAAAAAATACTGTACATTGCTAGTCATTAATTCGTTCTTTGAGGTAAGGGGAGTGCACTAGTTCTTAAAAAGAGACAAAGATATATTTTAACCAGAGGTTTAATTTAATCGACGTTGGTAGAAACGGGCCTAAGAGCTAATTTCACCAACCTCGGTTAACTTTAACCTCCGGTTAAATTATATCTTTGTCTCTTTTTAAAGAACGTATCTGAAAAAAGACAAAAAATTGGTGAAATTGGTTTTAAATTAAACTTTCTAGGTACCCCCCTTACCCTCAGGGAACGAATCAGTGACCTCCATTGTACATACCTGTAAGAATCAGGAGTAGCCATAAACCAAATAGCAATAAATAATTGTTTTCTTTCTGGTATTGGCTTTCTGCCAGAGAGTGTATTATTAATTGCTCGTAATGCTGGACCAATTATTGTCAGTACCATTTCAAAAGTTTCAGGAAAGATTCTAAAAAAAGAACGGTGAAAATAATAAAAAGGTACTTCCCAAAATTCTTTTATATATAATCATATATAAAACAATATAATATTACATAGAAATATAGAAAATTATATATAAGCTATTTATAATTTTTTATATTATTTTTTTTATAAATTTTTTTATAAGTTTATATTATTTACCGAAAATGTTCTTTAAATACCGTTCTAGAATAATTAGGAACAACTCGCTCAATATAATCCATTTTTTCATTAAAAACGGTTTCCCCGCGTGTTTCAGCAATCATCAATATTAAATATATTAACTCTAATTCATAACTATCTTCCACTTCATCTTCGCTATCACTATCAGTAGTATCACTGCTTGAATTAATTTCTTCAATATTTTTTATTAATAAAAATAAAGTTACAACTATTTTATCCATGGTAGTAGCCATTTTTTAATCGCATTAAACGCATAATAATCGTTTCGTTTCCAAGCGCGCATCATGCGCATTAACGAAACGGAACGATATCAATGCGCGCAGCACATTGAATGCAGTCTATGCGCATTATGCGTGAAACGGAACGCACCCTCGGTGTACGGATGGAGCTTACACTTACTCGGAGCCATTTGGACCTCGGTGACCAATGTCCTCCTACATCTCGGCAAACCAGCAGACGGAGAACAGGACAACGGACAAGAACTGCTACACTTGAAACCCCCTTCACCGAACGAAGAACAAGCACCCCTAACCCTGCCCACGCAACAAACCCTCTCGACTAACGAAACAGACAATGGTAAAGTGTGTGTGTAAAAACTCACCCTACAAGTGTTCCCCCGATGAAAGACTACGATGAGCTAAATAAATACCTACATAACCAATGCTAAGTAAAGAATCTAATTGTAGCGCATAGAACTAAGTCTAAAATTAAAAATAACTGTGAGACGACCCAACTGGCTTAAATTGATTCTTATTATTAGTTTGATGTCATATACAAGAAAAGACAACGTTTCGACCTTAGGTTTAGGTCCTTGTCAAGTCTTACAAAATCTTTAGTACAATATATAATTAAGTTTTTTCATTTTACACATTTCAATATAAATACTGTGTCACGTAAAACGTTCAGTATGGATGGTAAAGCGAACTCAGTAAAATGAAAAAACTTAATTATATATTGTACTAAAGATTTTGTAAGACTTGATAAGGACCTAAAACTAAGGTCGAAACGTTGTCTTTTCTTGTATATGACATCAAACTAATAATAAGAATCAATTTAAGCCAGTTGGGTCGTCTCACAGTTATTTTTAATTTTATTCATCACTGGCGATACAAGATACCTGCTATTAAGTCTAAAATGTTGGAACAATAACTTCCAACATTTTTATTTTTAGGGGGAAGATGTCACGTCCGGCCATATAAATTTTTTCGTTTTCTTAAAGAATAAAATTCTAAGTTCATCAAGGGCCGTTTGAAAAGCGCGTCAATGCCGGCCATGACCCTTAACTCCGCCTAGAAACTAAGCGCGACGCTCCGTAGCGTCTAGAGATCTCCCACCACGGCGAGAATCCCTACTCTAGAGAGTTCCCTCTCTCTCGGCCGCCGCAGGCCCGAGCCGCCGAAACGAAAGACCTCAGAGCAGTCCCGAATTTCGGCAGTTCATCTCGCGACTCCAAGCAGTACACTTCTAAATCTAGTTAAGCCTAACTCTAAAGCATAAGTCCTAGTTCTAAATTTTACTTTAACTCTAAAGCATAAGTCCTAATTCTAAATTTTACTTTAACTCTAAAGCATAAGTCCTAATTCTAATTTTTACTCTAAATAATACTATGTACTTATATATATAAGAATAAACCAGTGAGTTTTGTGTAACAAGTGTCTAATACATTTCTCGACAAATTCCACAAAACCTATTTGCGACAAAAACGCGCTAGTGACTAAATCAGCAACAAGGCATCAAATCCCGAATTCGGAACAAATTCGAACTGTGCTTAGAGCGGACAATCGCTCATCACAGCTAGAATAACATTCTCTTTACGCACCGAAATAAGAAATCGATAGTGAGGTCCGCCGCACATCGATCTTCTTTATTAACGCAATTGTTCCGAGAATGTCTCCGATTCGAATTCATTATGCCTCAAACGCGACGCGCGGAAAGAAAAAACCAACTCCGTAAATTAAACCGAATTTATCGTGAATCGATAACCGAACAATACTCTCAATTACTCGGTGTAGAGTACCAGGCCGATCCTGAGTACGAAAAACTTTTCGACACGAAAAATAACGCAAACACTAACAACAACGACGTGCTCCTGCCGTAAAAACCAGTGGCGATAACCTTCCTGCCACGACGCATGCCGCCACTGAATATCCTGGAGGACGACCCCCGCCGTACTCGCTACCTACAAAAACGAGCTGACGCTATCAAAGAAATATTGTTAAAGGTGAGTGAAATCCGTGTTGATTTAAGAAATCGCGCATTTTAAGTTAAGAAATTTAGAGACGCCACCGCCACGTGGAAAGGAATATTCGGGAAAATTTCCTACGCATTTTTCCTTTCCAAGCGTCCACTACGGAAATCAGAAAAAAGGGTCGGTCGTAAAATAAAAAAGGTCGGTCATAAAATAAAAAGGGTCTGTCATAAAAATAAAAAGGGGTCAGTCGTAAAAGAAGGGGTCGGTCATAAAAATAGAATCGACCACCACGTGCGCTGCAGCCCAGCACCTTGTAATACGAAAACGCAAAAGAATAAAATATTCTGATTTTCTAAAAATCTAAAGAAGTAACGGCGCGATTCTTTTTACGACACAACAATTATTTAGATAAATAATAACTAATTTAAGGGTTCTCACGTATCGATGTGCCCGTTTCCGCCTAGAGGTATAATCCCTCCTCCAGAGATTACCTTCATAGCGCCGTTTCCACCTTTGTTCTATTGCCAAGTCGGTGTCGGATATATTCATTTCGAGACTAAGACTGCTCTCTGCCTTTCGTGTTTCGCCGCCTTACCTAGAGTTTCGAAATTGCTCTGGGCGAAAATTCGAAAACAGCCTAATCATAGGCGGAATACCCGTCGGGATAAATTGTGAGACTTGCAACAATCGCCTCACCCTCACGCGAACCGGTAACTTATGCGATGGTTGCCAATTCAAATACGAAGACTATTTACGCGATCCAAACAATGTCTCGCTGAGAGCGGTTGACGAGACTATTGTCGTAACAGTAAAGTCACAGATAGGTTCTACATCATAATTCGATCACCACGCGTTCCTCTCTTCCAGCGCAAACAACCTCAGATCGCGGGTATCTCCGAAGAGAATCGCTTAGATTCGCGTACCCGTAATAGCGATCGTGTCTCATGGAAAGGCCCGAGCCCTGCATTCGTTTTTTCGCAGCCGCGATTTCCCGAGACGTAACAGTTACTCTTAAGTACCGACTCGAAAGCAACTTCCCGGGCGCGTCTTCTGCTCCGTTTTTATAGTCTCGCTTTTTGGAAGTTCCTTGATCGGAAGAGGTGCCTAGCAACGGACCCCCTCGGTCAAGGACCTAGGTGCAAGCGAAGTAAATTCAAAGTCCTTCTGCTTTGCTTGCACGTTGGGCAATTTCGATTCTGCGTGTATCTCGCAGCGTATGCGTTTTTATGCGGTCAGTGCCCGTCGTCAAGCGGATGTAATATAAATAGTTATACCTTAATAGTTATATCTTTTAGGGATATAACGAACTACTCAGATTTTTACAATTTAGTATCAGAGATATTATTCTCCTTTTTTTTCAATATATTCACATAAATAAGGACTCCATGAATATAACAACATTTCACCGTAATTAAGGATATACCACATTGTGAAATCATAACTATATAATTTAGCAATCATATTAAATCATATTAACCATTTTCCTACTATTCCATTAACGTATTATAAATGAAAACATTAAAACAAAAGATCGCACGTCGGAATAAACGTAATCACAGAGCTAGGAAAAAGGCTCGTGCTAATCGCGCCACGTCTATTCTACGTTGGCTCAGGCAACGGTCACCAGACAATAAATCTCGCATCAAATCGTGTGAAATAGTTGCCATTTCTCCGGAGACTATAAAAAGATTAAAGACTTAACTTATTCAACTAAATCCTGACAATAAACTCGTAGCGAACAAAGAAACTCCCCCTCATACTGAGATTGAACCCTCGATCAACCAACCTCCTCATTCCCTTGAATTCTTGACTCCTAAACTACCAAGTTCAATTGATTCTTCGATAGAAGAAGCACTTAATTATTTTAATCTTAGAACCATTTTCCCCCAGTTATCACCAATTCCAGACAAAGAAATTCCCCTTGACTCCAGGATAGAGTTCTTGCCAGACGAACCATCTAATATATTTAGTTCAGAACCCGATTCTTCAGAGCAGTTACTAATCACAGAATTACACGAATTGGTATCGCAAGTGGGAAAAAATACTTCCCCGGAACAATTTTATCCTACAGATGAAGTACAAATATTATATTAAAAGACCAATCCTCCGAACAGTTACTAATTGCAGAATTGTGTGATTTAGTATCACAAATAGAAGAGGATACCTCTCGGGAACTAATTCCTCGTAAGGACTTAATACAATCACTAAAAGATCAGTGTCCAGACAATTTAATTGAAATCAATCAATATGCTAATTATCTAGATATTTAAATATTTAAAGTATTTCTCCAATGTCATCAGAATGTACTATTGAAAAAAACCAGAACTTAATTAACAAAGAAATTCATGCAATAAGTATAATTATCGCCTTACTAACAGACGTTTTAAAGGGAAACATCGATTTAGACCAATTTCTCGTCTGTTTAGATAACATTCCAGATCCATTGAACACGATAAACGCGAGGCTTCTCGAAAACCGATAATTCGTGTAATCTAAATAATTGTTTAATAATAGAACCCAATAAGGGATTCTCAAGACTCTAATTTTGAGAATTATATAATATTTTCACTATTGAATTTATTAATTAACAACTATTTAAATGGGGAAATT